TGGATAACCAACTAGTGATATGTAAAGAATAGACTAAGGAGAATTCATGTTAAGTATTACTCTTGCAAGTATTTTGTCAAATCAACACAACTGCAAATGTTGTGCAAAAAAGTTTACACAAATGTATACACTCACAAAAGGCTTCTACAGCCAAGACGAACAGTCAATCACAGTTCTGCAAGACTGAACAATACTAAAGACTCACATTAAGGTTTGACACTTGGATGTTTTCCAATAGTCCTGGCTGATTTTACTATAGACTTATCAGTTGTCGTTGGAACACTGCAGACATACAGATTGGATAAATGGTGGCTACAGACACACAGATCAAAGAGGCTGCTTGGGCTTCCCCCCCCCCCCCCCTTTTTTTTTTTCTTCTCCCTCTTCAATTTAAAAAGTTAACAACCTTAGTGACATGGCCTGGAAAGACTCAAGAGTTCTGCTGATACACCATGTTTTGAAGAAAGGGATATTATTTCCTCTTAAAATACCAAAGACCATTTACATGAGAGGAGGAGAGTGACTAAGATCTTTATAAATAGGAATTGAAAGCTTGGTTGCTAAATCCATATTTAGCCAGCTATATAAGTTGACCTGATTTACAAATATGCCAAGCATCCTCTGTTTCTGTCATCAAACACCATTTGGGTTTCAAGGTTGTCCAGCATACTTGAAAATGAGGCCTCTAATTTTAGAGCCTAAATAGGATTCAAATAACCTAACAATGGGATCCTCTTTTGAAAACATCAGTATCTTGCTCAGAAGTTCTTTGCTTCCACTTACTTGCTAGCTCTGCTCGGCAAAATTCCTGTAAGAACAGCCAAACTAGGTAAGACCAGAAGTCCATCTACCCCATTATTCTGTTTTCAGCAGTTACTAGTACAAAGTGTTTAAGGAAAAACTAAGAGCATGGTACATACCAAGGGGTCACTTTTCTCATCATACTCTTCTAGCTCCCAGCAACATGTGATATGACTAGTCAAGTTATTGACACATAGTGCTTGGCTAAGAATTTTTCCTTGTGCTATCACTTACTACAAAACTAGTTCATCTAAAGTACATTAATTCAAACAGAAAAAGCAGTAATCTTATGTTATTTAAACTATGCGTGCTGGAAAGAAAAAACTTCAAAGACCATTGTTTCAAAACAAGTACTTCAACTCAATGCAAACAAAGGCTTACGACCCCCAGGGGAGTAAAATCAATATCAGCACATTTGCTGTGAAGAAGTAGAAAGACAGTAAGCAGTTTCTAAAGCCATAGAAACAAAAGAGATTGGTGTGACTGTGAAAGGCCCTTGCTGGTTATCAAGGAAAAAATTACTTCCACAGGGAAAATAAAAAGGAAAAAAGAGGACTTGTGCAATTAAACACTGCAAGAGAAGTCAAGGTCTCAAGCACAGGCTCAGGTGGCACAAAAAGTCAGGGTCTCTGTATTCAAAAGAATGTTTTTCCTCAGGGAATGAAAAAGAACAAGGAATTCAGAGTCTCTTCAGGTTTTGCCAAAAGGAAAGGAAATTGAGTTGTAGGTCAGTGGGAAGAGATTTTGAAACACTAGGTTTCCAAATGTGATCAACAAAACTGGACTGGGAATAAACTGATCTGAAGAGCCCGAACAACTAGGGAACACACAGACCCTATTTTTTATTTGAAGTCTTTTAGCCAGCTTTGTTCATGAGAGTAACTACTGACTCACATGAGAGCATTTGCAACCATGAATAACTCTGCTATTTAAATGCCAGTGGGGTTGACAATTCCTCAGGGAGTAGCATGTCATCATCAACAGCACCAAAACATGGTGCTACTTTTAATCTCCTGCTTTTAACCTCCTAGCTCTCTGAGTACATGAACCACGAGCACCTTTCAGTGTAGTGTGAGGTCAGGGATTCTTCCCCGAACAATCTAATTAGGAGCTCCAGAGTCTTTGCAGTCTGACACCATTCCCTACTCCTTTTCCTCCAATTCGCTCCCATCTGCTAGTGAGAGAACTTAAAATCAGATAATAAGTGTGTTAGGTGTTAATGAAACTCTCAAAATTCTACAGAAAGCACTGAATCTCTGGCTTTTAAGCAATTTAAATTTGGTCCACAATGCTTTATTCATTTAATTTATGTACAGTTTAACATAATAGCACCAACAAAGACATGCAGGCCACATTCTTCTTTTACTAACATAAATTTGGGAGAAGCTATACTGAATCACTTGAACTATAATAGTGTAAAATCGAGAGAGTGCAAAAGCAAATCCTCCAGCTTCGAAGATCTGCAGGAAGCAAGAGGGGATGATTGCAATTATTATATACAGTCAAGATTCTGTTTCCATACAGAAGTCCATAGCAAATTAAAAAACACAGGGAGAGATGTACAGAAAATACAAGTAAAATGAATATGCTTTCAACTAGAGGTTTTCTCATAAAGCATCTGTCAGACTTCAAGAGAAATGCAGCTGACCCACAGTAGCGGCTACTGGAATAGACATCTTAAAACGCCTAATTAGGTCACTCTGTGCAAGAACTATCATCATTTCATACCAGTCTAAAATGTTGGGGAAACATCCCCCTTAAGTAAAGGGAAGTATTTTGGGATATAAAAAACACAGTAAGTATCGGCTAATGAGGAACAGACAAAGAAAAGTGCCAAACACTGTAAAGCCCTGATACTTCAGATAATGACTAAAATTTATGACTGCTTCCTTCCCTGGCAGACAGGAGTACAATTAGAATTCTCAAAACAAAAGCCCCATTGTGCTGGCATGCTATGTTATGCTTATACTGCTACAGATAGACTACAAGATAAAAAAAAAAATACTACAGCACCTTTTTTAACCCAAGATAATAGCTAACTTTTTTTTTAATGTGGGTTTGGACATGGTTTTGCACATAGCTTATTCTTAACAGAAGTCATTTAGGTAATTATCATTGCATGCACAGGAATTAACCATTTAAGTAGCTTGCTGTATACATTGAAGCCTCTATTTGAGAAATCACACAAAACAAGAACAAATGAGCTATTATGAGTCACTTAATTTCCTTTGCTGTCCAAATACAGCTTGACATTTAAACAGCTTAAATTATTCCTTTATTTCAATTTTCAAAAATTTGAATGTGCTTGGCTTGATGAACTGCTGAATGAAAAGCATCAGGAAGTATGCATGCCCTTTCTTTCATCCTTTAGTTATATTCGGTGATATGGATCACTTGGAGCTGACAGTGGTTAGAAGCATAGGGAAATAAAAGCACAGGTTTTTCTCATCTCCTTCACAAAGAAAGCACGATTACAATATTCTGAACACGCAATCTGGACTCAGATAACCGCAGATGGTTTTGCAACAGAATACCCTGCAGGCATCTTTTCCCAATATATTCTGGGAAAGGTACATACAGGGGAAGCTCTGACAGCTTCCCAAAGAGCAGTAGCATATCAACAACCGAATCTTGAAGACTTCTCCTACTGCGTGCTCTAATTTTGGCCTAGACATCTCTCTCCCCTTTCTCTTTCATTTTGTATTATTTGTTCATCTTGCCCTTCATGGTTCCACTGATCACTGCTCTTATCACTCAGCTCAGTAAAACAGCTAGTTTCTTCCTCAATTACAGTGATGATCCATAAGGACCTGTGTCAACTTTTAAGTACCATGCCCTTGAAGTCAGAGGAAATTGCTAAGCAGTTCTGCTAATTTCATATAGCTTCAAGAACATGGTACACAACATCACACTTACCTCCAAATCAAACCACTCTGCAAAGCATCAGAGAATATAGTCTGTGGTAGGTGCCCAAAGCAACCGGGACTCATGTAAGTTTCTTGATGCTTTCATTTAGGAGTTCAACTGAGCAAAGAGCTATCATTGGAAACTCAGTAACCAGTACAAGGTATCTACAAAGCAGTGAGGCTTATATGACAGAGGAGTGTCACTGAATGCTTAAGTTTTCAATTTTATGTATCTTCATTTAAAAACAAAAGAAAGTAAACTTATGCTAAAAACTACACAATATTATTATGTGCCAGCATAATTTTCTACTTTTATCCTTAAGGAGGATTTCAAGAGGAAAGCTGTAGAAAAAAATCTACACAGCGAGCGGCTGTGTGGTGCTCGGTTGCTGGCTGAGGTTAAACCACAACACAAACCTATTCGACAATTGCCCAAGAGCTCCAAAATACAAAACCAACAGTCAGGGAATACACCTTTCCTTTCAGTCCTCATCTTTCTAACAGAGCTTTGCCTTTAATTCTTCCCTTGGATGTTTTGTCCATCTGCCCAAATGAATCCACTCTAATGTTGGCACTAGGCAAAAATAGTGTTTCATTCTCTGCTATTAACAAACACTATCTCACTACCAACTTAAAAATACATGTATTTTTAAGAAAAATAAAAAGGAAATGGGGAATTTCAATTGCTAGGCATTGCCTTACAACTAATCGAGCTAAAATTCTATTGTCATTGCATGACTGGAAATTATACTATAAAACCAAAAATATTAAATTAAGCTTTTTATTCTCCACAGTTCTGTGAAAACTTGATAATATAATCCTTACAGTTTGCCTTACTCAGCTTCCAAAGACCAGTGTTTGACTAGAAACTCATAAATCACAAAAGGCTTATGAATAAACTCTAGATCTGGATTTTAACATGCTCTTGGTCTGTCAAGACATAATGGTAAAATCAATGCCAAAACAAAACACAACAAAATGATAGCAGCATCAAGTATTTAAATCAATAGAAGCAATAAAAGAATGTGAGTTTGGCAAATGAGGAAATTCAGACCCACATGTCTAATAAGCTTATATTTTCCTTCCCTGAGCCCTGTTAAAACTAAAATTAAAGATCACAGCACAAAGGATGCAAACAAACCTACACACATGAAGCCAGAACTAGAGTTTTAAGTTTGGTTTAAGAAAAATAGCACAGCAACTTTATATTGATAGCAATTTGACACTGTTAACTAGCTGATAAAAAGGAGTCTAACAAAACACAGGAGATGAGATACTAATAAGTTTCTTTACCTAGCCATTCCCAGGCTGGAGAAGTTGGAAGGAACTATCAAAACATCAAGCCTAGAAAAGGGGTGGGTACCCAGTGTGGTGTAAGCAGCTGAGAGGCACTGAGGAATTAGCTGAAGCAAACATTCTTCGCAGTGTTCCATAAGGCACCAGGGAGCAAAGACTCTATAAGGAATGACTGCCTGCAACCTGGCAGCAGGATTTTGGAAACGGCACGGATATTCCAGATGACCACAGATTTCTTCATGCCATCTGACAATAACAAAAAAAAAAAAAAGAAAGAAAAGAAAAAAAAAGAAAAAATAGTTTAATGTGATACCAGAAATGTGCACAACTTGAGTATGCTAAGAGGATATTCTCTAGACATGAGAATGACAGTTAGTTTGCATAAAACCAACTTATTTGTATTCTCACACTGTTCACACGTGTGCAGCACTGTGAAAACACTCACTACTGCATGTCTGAGTAGAACTGATATAGTTACTCATAACTAAAAAAACCCCAACTAGTCAAACCCTGTTTTTATAATAGATATGCATCAAAAGAACAAGTGGTCAAAATGTACATAAAGAAAACTAAGTAACAATACAAAAATATTTATTTATTCAGAGAATTCCTATTCAAACTTGACTACAAAAATAAAATTTTGTACGTACTAACACAAACATATTAAGTGCAATTAGAATGAAATTCCAAGGGGGCTTTTTTTCTGTTGTTATTACTGAAGTTCTCCAGGAACTTTTACTGATTTTTTTTTTCTTAAGTAAAAAACAACAGTAGCTATCAATTCAGGCTTATCACTGTAGACATTTGAAAATATCACATTAGGATCAAGCTTACTTTACATTACTTTTACAGGATATTCAAAGCTGCAGCTGGGAGGAAGGAGGGGTAGATCAAATCCTTCCTAAACAATGAGTCATATACTTTCACAATAATTTCTCTGCCCAAATAGACTCATATCTAAGCAGAAATCAGCTTCATGTTTTCACCTGCTAGCCTGTCTTCTGAGAGGCAGAGCCTCTCCTTGGTTTGAGATTTCAACTTAAGGAAGCTGGTTCTACTGTGCCTGGACAGGCAAAACATTTATTGTTACTGCACCTGGCATCACCCCAAGCATTTATATTTGGAAGATCATGCTCCAGGTGAGTGCTGACACACAAAACAAAATGATAACACTTAGAAAAGGACTACATTTTGCTGAAGTGCCAACACTTTAACACCTTCATAACTCTTTCCGTGCAAGAAGTGGCCTCTAAGCTATTTCATTGATTACATATGCAAAAAACCTACATCCCTCATTCTACAATTTTTTTCCAAGGGTGGTCTAACCCATTATATTTCTGCTCTAAAATAATGTCACTTTGTATTTAATTATCAGAGTTGAGATTAGGCAAGAACATGAAAGATAGCATCCTATCTCTTGTAAAAGTTGCCAAGTCCTTAATGACCACAAGGAGATAGGAAACTTATTTAACACCCTAGCTCCATTTAACATTTTCTTTGATACAGTCTCCTTATGTCAAACTCACTGGCACCTGGACATAAATTACATCACACATTTCAACAACAACTCTCAGAAATCCTTCCTTTTCCAGCTGCCCGAGAGTTTATCTCCATTATCCTACCTGAGACACTACCTTAATATTTGCTTGTCTATCCATTTCACATGCTTTCTAGAAATGCCTGCTACTGTGCATAATGTTGGTTTGGTTACCTAGTCTTAATGACTAAAATAAGTAACAAGTGTCTGTTGTGCTAACTCCCAAATAAAGATTAACTGGATATAGCTGTAAGAGCAGATTTTTAAGGACATGGATTTTTATGTCCTAATTAACTGCAAAACAACCTTGTACACTTAGGCTCTCCTTTTTTGTCTATGCATAATAGACACCACACTTGCAGAGGATTTTTTGATTTTTTTTGGTCAGGTTTTTTTCACCAAAACACATTAGTTCTGTTTCTTCCACTGCCACTAACTCAACTGCAGATACATCACACTACCTGTGCCAATTAACTCATCCAATGACCATCACACAGATTGACTCATAACAATGACCATCACACTGATTAAAACTTGCACTAATTTTTGCCACAAAAATATTTCCCTTTTTTCAGATGTTTTTAAAAAATGGCAACTGTCATTTATTCTATCAACACTGTCAGAATAATCTTTTGTACCAGATCAATAAAAATTCTTATTACTGAACGTGCTGTACATTAGAGAGGAATATATAGTGAACATCTACAGTGTATTTCTGTAGAGGGAGTCATATTATAAACATATAAATAGAAGAGGAATAAACACAAAACAATTTCTGGAAGCTTATCAAACCTATAAACTATTTTAAAGCTTGAATAGGCATGTCTTACTGGTCTTAGGTAAAATATAAAAATTCCTATTCTCAAGATTTATTAAATTCTTTTAAACCAAAATTAGCCAAGCTGCAAGCCATCAGAATCCTTTCATTTTAAATTCCAGTAAGAAATCTCCATTAGGTCCTCAAGTTCCAAAGTCTCACTAGCTTTACCAAAATGGTAAGGATTTCCACTGTCTTAATGTTAACACAGTATTAGTGCAAAACACAGCTATCTAAAAGGCGAGTATTGTTTCAGCTAAGTTTCTAATTGCATAACAGAAAAAATACTTATGGCCTGACTAACCTGATCACCTTCTACAACAAAATAACATTTTCTGTTGACGTGGGGAGAGCAGTGGATATTGTTTGCCTGGACTTCAGCAAAACATTCATCACAGTTTCCCACAGCCTTCTCCTGGACAAACTGGCAAGATATAGACTGGATGGATGGTCTGCAAGATGGGTAGGAAATTGACTCACAGGCTGCACTCAGAGAGTGGTGATCAATGGTTTCTGCTCAGGCTGGCAGCCTGCCACAACTCCCCCAGGGATCAATACTGGGCCCCACACTGTTCAACATCTTCACAAATGTCCTTCATGATGGGACTGAAAGCACCCTCACCAGGTTTGCTGACGACACCAAACTGGGTGGTGAGGTGAACATGTCAGAAGGGAGAGCCATCTTACAGAGATACCTGGACAGGCTGGAAATGTGGGATAGCAAGAACAGTGTGAAGTTCAACAAAGACAAGTGCAAAGTCCTGCACCTGGGATGACATAACCAAAGAGCCCAGCACAGGCTAGGATCTGTGTGCCTGGGAACAGCCTTGCTGAAACGGACCCTGGGGTTCCTGGTGGACAACCAGTTGAACATGAGTCATCAGTGCACCACTGCAGCAACGAAGGCAAATCAGATCCTGGGCTGCATCCACAGAGGCATTATTAGCAGAGCGAGAGACATGATCACCCCACCCTACTCAGTGCTTGTCAGGCTGCACCTGGAGTATTGTGTCCAGTTCTGGTCCCCACAATTCAAGAAAGACACAGACTGGAGAGGGTCCAAAGGAGGGCCATGAAAACAAACAAAGGGCTGGAGAACCTGCCCTGTGAGGAAAGGCTGAAGGAGCTAAGCCTTTTCTGAGATGAGAGGAGGAGGCGAGAGGAGGAGGCAAGAGGAGAGAGAAGAGAAGGCAAGGCTCAGGGGGACCTCACTGCAGTATTCCAGTACTTAAAGGGCATCTACAAAGGGCATAGAGGCCCTCTCTTCAAAAGGAGCCACATGGAGAAGACAAGGGGCAATGGGTGCTAGATAACCTCATCTAAGCTCCCCTTCCCACAAAAGATTGGACCAGATGATCTTTCAAGGTTCCTTCTAACCTGGGCTGTTCTATGATTCTATGACTCTATGAATTTGAAAAGCTGAGAGTAATATGTGAGGAAATCAAATGTCATGTCTGAGACTTCTGCTAACTATGGTGAATACACGTGGAAATAAGTGATATTTCTCCAGAGACTTAATTTTTAGCTTCAAATTTCATTTGTAGGCCTATATAGTATTGTTCTGTTCATCTATCACTCTAATAATTTAAACTTAATGAGCAGTTCTGACTAGATTGGAAGGAGAAATAGATGTATCCAGTATAATTACATTTCTGTGGGTTTGGTGAAAGACAGCTAAGTAGCCACTGCAAGTACTAGACAACAGGGTATTTTTTAATGGAAAAAAATCATCGGTCCAACTTTATTTTATGGGACCACTGCAACACGTCTTTCATGTACCCAGCCAGTACACATCACCCCAGGCAAACCATTGCACAGACCAGCTCCAACTCTGGAATGGGACTGGACAGGAAGAAAAAAGCAAGTGAGTAGGCAATATTGTAGTAGAGGGCATTAGGTATCCAGAATGGACCAAGTCTAGTAACACAAAAGATCTTACAGCGAGGCATTGTAAGAAACAAGGGAGGACCTGGTATTGCTGCTGCAGGTGGTTAAGAGACACGGGATGTAGGATACAAATCCAGCACTGGCATTTATTAACTCTATTGCTCACTAAGCAGCTTGTTTTCACATAAAAAGAACCATACACTTACCTATGAAATAATACCTTTGGAATTATTTTCCTGTCAAGATTTTTTTATTTTGATTCCTGTACTAATATGACTAATTTTCACATTCTACAGAGGAAATGAAAATGCTACCCATACATCTCATTTTTCAACAACATTCTAAAAACCAACCTGAAATCAGCTTGTGAAGATGGCAAGGAAAACTCAATGTTTGTCTGGATAGCAGCTGTGAAGGACTGCTGTTTAACTTCCTGCCAGCACCCCACAGCAATAGTGAAGGTGGATGCTGGCATTGGCATGGTCACATAGTAGTACCAGCTCAAGCTACCTGTAAATAAAAAGAACATTTGTACAGACTCATCAGTCACAGCACACACTCAGTACTTGACATTTTTATATACTTGAGATTTTGGGCCAAACCTCCCACCTTACATCCTGGTATTTTTGTTGAGGGAAGAAAAATAATTTCACTGAGACACATAAGAGCAGTCATATGTAACCACCATGGATTCAGTACTGTTTACTTACACCTGAAACTTTCCTCTATCTGCTGATGTCTTTATCTATAAATAAATCATCCGTAAGTGGGATGTTATTAATGTAACTTAACATGATTGTACTGTTACTGCCCAAGAATTGCATGAGACATGAAATCTAACAGCACCTTTAGATCCACATACACAAAAATATTAAAGTTTAATTCTTTCAACCCTGGATCAACCACCTTATGGTTTTATCTTCACTGTATTATCTCACACTGAACAAAATATTTTCTTTGTGTTCTGGACAGTACCAAACTGATCGGCAAGTTCTAACAAACACCACTAGCACTTCTGAATTGGACCTGGCAATCTGAGATACATGATGTGCCAACCAGGCAGTGAAAAATCAAAGCTTAGAATCAGATGGGATATTGCCTAAGTTAATGAATTATTTGGTCATGATAATCCAGAAGCTGCTAAAACAAGATTAGAGAGTCTATTAGAAGGTAAAAAGATGACAAGTCTTATCATTATGGGAACACAGTGCTGGAAGACAAGGAGTACGGTATAGGATGACTGTATCTATGAACACCTTTGGATAAACTGGAAGATGTTTTAGGACAGCATACTTTTCATTAATCTAAATGTTGCTTAGGTTTTCCGTTTGTCCCTTTAAAAAGGGTATAGCTTAAGGGTCACATTCAAGTGCTTATTTATGGTCACAAATACAGTTACTACACCACACTAATAGGTTAATTACTCTTGGAAAGAGCCTAGCATGAGTTACAACCTGCTGAATCATGTACAAATAACTGTAGCTGTGGCAACTGTGGAAACATACAAACTTTGGTTATTTTAAGAGAACATTAATACTTGTTCTTTTGCAATAGTATTCTGACCAGGGCTATGGAACACTATCAAATGGAAAAAGAGGAAAAAAACCAATCCAGTGGAGGCCACAAGGCATAGAGGAAAAGAAATAAACAACTGCAGCAAAGCATCTCTGGGTTTCCTACCTTAATGACCACAGAAGGTCAAGCTGTCCAAAGCCAGGACAAGCAAAAAAATCTTTCTGCTTAGCCTCAACAAATTTTCCACCTACTATTTAGTATGAAAAAACAATACTGTTTGTGAAGTCTTGTAAGAGGCAGATAAAGCCTCTGCCTCTTATATGCACTAGCAGCCACTTACACTGCCTCACTCCATTCCACTTTTGGCAACATTCACCACTACCATCAAAAACCTTTTGTCTGTATTGTCAGGTGAACATATATTACTCCCGTAATTTTCCTAACCTTCTGTCAGTATGTGAGCAGAAGGAACTCATTAGCTCCAAACACATTAGGAACAAAGAGGATAACCATTTTGCCAAATTCCCTCTCCCCTTTCTTTTTTTTATTAACTTACCAAAGCTACAAATGAACCAAGGCAAGCAAGTGCCGCCTTGAGAGAGAGAGCTCACCCAGGACAGCAACAATTTATTATTTCGAAAAACCAAACTCCTGATGTAGAGTTTCATTGATATAAACTGTGCTAGAGGCCCAAGCCTGCACACACTGAAGTTAACAGCAGCTTTACCATTGACTGAAATGTGTACAAGAGAAGGCCCAGAGGTAGTCTACAGTACTTCACTTTGTGTAGCATCTGTTATATACAAAGCATTACAAAATGCTCCACGCAGTTATGTTAATTGTAAAACCTTGAGAGTTAAATAACAGCAGAGGAAGAGTGAAAATTTGAGGAATCGTAATGGAAAAACAGTAATGTGTTTTCAACTGAGTTCTGAAATAAGCATGAAAGTCAAAAGGCAGTCACAGAAACCTGTTCTAGGTGGCAGGAGGTGTAAAGGAGAAAGGCCTCACAACAGCGAGGAGATTGTCTAAAAGGAAAGCCTGTGCTATGCAAATAGAGGGAGCAGAGAGAATTGCAGTGAGAAACAAGTTTAGCAAGACAGGCTATAGCAAGCAAGACCATAGAGTTGTTTTTAAAAAACAAGAGTGATTTGAACAGAATGTCAAAATGAATGGGGAATCAGTTTAGCAGTCCAGAGAGAAGAACAGCATGTACTGCATTCAGAAATTTACATGAATTAGCAATGAACATATGCTACTCAGAGCTAGAGCAAACCTTGCAAAAGGGTGAAGATACCAAAGACAAAGAAAGGTAGTTTTTCTTGGTATGTGTTTTCAGATTTATCTAAATTAGGATTTCCCGAAGAAAAGAAAAGCAACTAACATACAATACTTGTTTTTTTTCCAAGCACCTTATATTTTGCAGGCATTATAAACACCATGCAAACTGGATAATCCCAGAACAAGATCCAAGATTTCTACTGTCTTTACACACCTACGTGGGGCTCAATCCATTTCCTGCAGGGCTTTTAGATGTCTTCTGCATTCATACTCTAGAACTGCACAGGATAACTATGTATTTATCATACAGTTGTTTTGCCTTGAACAACTGAAATCACACACACTGGCATGACAAGTGAGTTCTCTCTATAGCGCATTCACTGACCGGTGACTGAAATGGTCTCTATGTTGGCAACACTCCTCTACAGCAAGCACCATGTTTCAAACAGTCTAACCCTCATTTATCTTCTATCATCTCCTCTCACTACTGGTAAGACTTTCTCCCAGCCTGCTCTTTCCTCCCATAACTTCACTTCCTTTCTTTAACTTTCTTCAGGTCAGTGGGCTTTGTTTTGCTTTCCTTCATCTGTAACCTCAGATCTATCCCAGGGCATAGATTGGGATCACAAGCTCCACTCTACTCCTTTTCCCTTCTCTCCCCTTCCCCTGGTTGCCCTCTGCTTTCCAGTGGCTACCTTGGAGACAGCACCACCTCTAGGGTAAGAGAAAACAGTGCAGCTGAAACAGGGACACGGCTTGCTTTACCAAAAACAGCATTTTGTACCACAAAAGCATTTTCAGATTAAGCAATAACACCTTGGGAAGAACAAGAGGTTAGGCCGCGGTTGCTCCATGGGAATAATAGAGGAAAAACACCCCAGTCCTTTTATCTGTAATGCTTATACCCTCTCCTTATAACCAGACTTAATTTAGAAGCAACTTGATTCCCACACGTAATTATTTTAGGCAATTATAATACTTTCAAAATATTTTCTCGACAGGTATTTTGAAAATAATTTTCAAGAATTTTTTTTTTTTCAGTTCTGCAAAGCAAATCTATCGTGTCATAACTGCACAAACCATGCAACAACAATCACCTATTCTATCAGGTATAACTGGAAAACATCCCATGCAAAACTAAGGGCTACATTTAACATGGGTAGGAAATTATAATCTATTTATAATTGTGCACAAGAACAATTTAAAGGCCGTTTATTTCTTCTACCTGAACTAATAATGATGAATGATGTAATTACTTCCTACAATTTTTAATGCATTTAGCTATCTTTGAAACCATTAAAATTGTTTGAGTCTTGTAGAGCCCATTATAACTGAAGAAACACCTGAGAGTCAGTATCTGTTAATGCCAGATGCAAGAACATTAAGAGTATTTTTACTTACTAGTATATTTTCCCTCAAATAGTTTGCACTAACACAAATACAAACACCACAAAGTACAGATGATGTCTATGACTTACTAAAAACCACAAAACTCAGCTACCTCTAGGGAAAAAGAGAGACAGTCCCACACCACATTTGACAAACAAAGTAAGAGCTAGCACTAATACCTAAAACTACAGCTAAATAAGTAGTTATGTCAAAACTACTATTTGGCTGGAGCACCAGGATTAAGAACCCCCCTGCTTTTTGAAACTCTCTGGAACTTGTAGAGATCTTTGATCTCATCCGAAAGCCAGAATTTCCCAGAGAGCACCCTCACGTTCACGCCAGAGCATCAGTTTAACACTGGCTCGGGGATGAGTAGCACGTGATCAGCTGTCAACTCCCATGCTGTAGTTCCTGATATATGTTGGAGATCAATCAACACAAGTACTGGACTCTTTTGTTTTGCCTTCTGAAAAGTGAGAGGAGCACAAACAAAAGCAACTTGTTGCTGCTGCTAGCTACAGAGCAGTAGCAGTGGCTTCTCTAGCACCGTATTTCCTCTCAATAACAGAATACACCTTCTCGCTGGCATCAGAGATGGCAAGACAAGATCAAGAACTACATAACAGTAGAGTAACCGCACAAAAAGCAAACCAGTCGATTTCACACTTAATGGTTGAATATCTACTTCTTGAACATGAATCAAAACAAATGTAAAGGTGTTTGTGACTAAATATATTTGCACCTTCTATGTGTTACAGTAATATGCTGAAGGAAAGTAAAACTGACAAGTGTTGAAAAAGAAATCCAATGGTTAAATGGCTCACATTACACACACACACACACACACTTGCATTATTCTGATAAATTTTTCTTCTCTAGGTACTCCATAAAGAACGTATGGTATTTTTAAGCACTTTTAGGTCATACTTGAATAGTTACCATTTGTACGGGAGTAACTGACGTGTCAGTATTTTCAAACAAATGTGGCCTCATTTTATTTCAAATGACAGGATAAGCCATAGTTTTATAGGAAGCAGAATGCAAAAATGACACATGCAGGAGTAAGTACACCATTACCAAAACCTGCAAATGCAAGTGGCAAATGAGGAATCTGTGCATGTGAGTACACCTAGTCTAGCTATGCACCGGATCACAGCATCCATGCATCTAGAGAGGTAGGTCTGTGAAGCAGGATGCAGATCTCTGTTTAAAAGCATGAAGGTATCATCCTTGCTTCTTGTTCTCTTATTGTCTGCCTGCACACTTGATATAAATATGTCTTTTAAAGGAAAAAATATTCAGCTAACTTGTAATACTATTCAGAATAAATTCATTCACAACTGCTTGCCAAAATGCTTATTCTTTCCAAGAAATTACATTTTTAAAAATTATTTTTGTGTTCTGCTAGTTATGTATGATTTTATAAATATGCAGCACAGCAATAGCATACTGTATGTAAATAATTTGGCAAAGAAAAGTTATTTTAATTGAAGCCACCCTGAAAGGCTTTTAGGTATATTTTATAAATGTAAAGACAAAATTTTAAGTTGGATAGATTTCATATGCCCTGCATAATTGCCTAACAACAAGATCTATGTGGGACAGGTTATTTAACACTACAGACCATTTTGAACTTTTTAACTCTTAAAAGTCCTATTAATTAAACTAATGAATTTGTATTCCTAAATTCATTAAGAATTTTTTCAAGGCTTCAGGTTAGCACTTGAGCCTTGGGTTGGTTTGTTTTTTAAAACATTCCTCACAATATTGCTCCTTTCCCTTCTTTCCTCTGTATCTGTTTAGTAAATTTTTACAATTCCAAACAGCTCTCTAACACTGATTTGTCATTTCCAGCTGTACATAAGCACCAAGATAATGAGGGTCTCATCCATGATTGAGTCTTTGAAAGTTACTGGAGCATAATGTCTATTATCTTTAAAGAAACCCAGCAACCCTTGCATCATGACATCAAAATTAGCATAAATAATTGTGTGTGCCGCATAGCTCTGTAAGCAGAACCTTCCATGCTCTTGGGAATTCCATCTTGAGGAGAGGTGGAAGGAACTGTAAAGACAGAAGTGCAGTAGGTGCTCCTGCTGCTTCCCTTCAGTTCAGAAAAGTTCAGCACAAAACCTTGCCATTGTCACATGGCTCCTAAAGGAGCCAGCTTTAATGCTACATTTGGTTCTTCCCAGTTCACATCACACTTTTCACTCAGCACTTCATTAGCACAGCAAAGCTAAAATGAGTCATTTCCTCCCTACTGGCCTTTTCATTATAGACTTCTTACAGTATTTCTTGCTTTCACGGAGTTCTTAGGAAAGGAAATATACTGGGTTAGCCTTTGGAAAATTAAAAAAAAAAAACCAAAACAAAACAAACAAAGCTTTAAGCTGACACATGGAATTACCAACATAAACTGACCCACTGCAACAACTACAAGGGTTGAAACAAAAGCCCCTTCTGTTCTCCACGGGGTGACAAGGCTGACTTTGGGTGACTAAGACCCACTGCTATCATTAACAATATAGTACCCTGATATTCTCAACACTCCATCAACAGCATTTTATAAGTGGTTTTCCCCACAGCCAGGTTTTTTTCTTTATTCAAGTATAAATTTTTGATAGGTTTTTTAAACTAGAATGACAAAACAATGTTAATGAGGAAATAATTCTTTCACAATACAGCCTTTTCAACTAGCTAATTGGTCTAAGAGAGTATCAATTTTAGCTGACCTATGCCAATTTATACTGCCTGAAATTTTTTCCAAGGTTTCTATTTCTAGAAATTCACATAAGCATCCTTCTTCCCCTTAATATTACAAACCTCATAGCCACCACTGAGGGATAGACAGGCAGCAACTCATTAGCAAGGTGTAAGTGTGGATTAAACTAATTAGACAATGATGGCAGAGCTGTTCTCCTAGTCTGAAGCCAAGAACACTCTTGCTTTCTTGATGCCGAGACAGGAAAGTATTATTGTCCAAGTGAGCTGAGCAGCTCATCATGGCAGCTTTCCATATTTCAACAGCAGAGACAAGGCCTGAAACAGGCTTCACATATGGCCAAAAATAACCATTCCATGCAAATGGATTAATTTATGGTTCTCAAATCAAGGAGACTTTCATTCTTTTTTTTCCCTCAAGAATAAACTTGCCTCTTTAAAGGGGAACAGAAGATTTTCTTTTTTTTCCAGAAACATCTAATTCTAACCATCTCCTATATGCTACTTTTCATCAGAACTACTTACACTAGAAAATACTCACCCTGTCTGACAGATTATCTAAAAACTAATGGGAGCAAGACATACTTTGTATTATTAGGTGTAGAATTAAAAACTGCCTTAAAAACTTCCTTCTCTGTGCAGACAGAGCTTTAGAGAATAAAGTATAACCAACACAGAAGAAAAATGCTTGCTTGCTTACTGTTGCACAAGGGATGATCTACCAATGCCAAAAAAAACCCCAAAGACCAGATTTTCAGGGCACTGACACGATGTTCTTCATCTATTCCATATATTTCAGGAAACAGATATGACACAATGACCACTTCTAATCATCGGCATGCTGAGCTACACTTGGACTGGAGAACTAAAACTGAAAGTTAATTATCTACCAAGGCCTGACGTTGTGAAGAGCCTGATAAGGTACTTCATCTACGAAACATTCAACTGCAGAGTGATTAAAACAAAGCCAATTTATGTCAAGTGAAGTCTAGGTTTGCAAAAAGTAAAAGGAATAAAAGCACAGAAAAAAATAAGTAGAAGTAACACAGTGAAACGTAGATGCCTTGAATTCTTACTAAGTTATTCTGAGGCTTTGAGCAGGTAACTTTTCCATAGAATGACATGGAAATTACTGATAAACATGTAACTGCTTTTAAGGTTAGGAACTTAATTCTTTCAAAAATCATATATTTACTAAGCTATATTTCTAATTATAAAATTATTGAAAGTAATTTACTATAGAAAATATATTTCACCTTCTCGAAGCTGGACTGGTTCTGCTGAGTTTTCACCACTCATTAACACAACAAAGCCTGCAGCTGTTCGGACTGAGGCTTGCCACGTTGACAATGCAATGGGTGGTTCCTGGCATGGGAAAAGGGCTCTGTTGTTTATTGGCGATCCCATCGTATAAACACATGGCCTAGATGGAAGGAAAAGAGATTGAAGTTGGAGTTACAATAAGAAAGACTGAAGTAAGTTTGCTGTCAAAAATCAAACCTACTGTTGTACTGAGGGTTTTTTTTAACCTCAGCTATGTAGGTTTCAAATCTGTATGACATGAACCAACCAAAGTATGATCTAAGTATTTAAGACAGGATGAAGAAAAACAAGACTACCACAATAATTTTTACATAAACTAGAAAAGAGTAACTCCAGTCTTTCCCCTCTCCTGCTTCTGCATGAGCCTTCCAGCCTCATACAATAGCTCTCAGCTGAACCATAAGGCCAAAGGCAGCTTCTGAATATCTTCTGAAGATGCCATTGCAGGGCTTCACTAACACCTGCGACACCTCCCTGTTGTCATCACAGTAGTGCTTTCATTATTATTAATCCCATCTCTCTGTACAACCTGGAGGCTCATCCAAACTCAGAGCAGTAGATCTAGCCTTGAGCCTTCCTTAGTCCAAGCCTCAATAAATCTTGACATTTTTACATTTCTTCTTGCAATAAGGTAATGCATACTAGCTCACCTGCCTTTCAGAATTTCAACCACAGGGCATATAATGAGAAGAAAACATTTCCTCCCTATCAGCCCCAGCCTCCTTCTTGCTTTTCACATAGCAATCTTCCTTGTAGTATTGCTCTCTCTGCAGTTTCTCTAACCCTCTCCTAGGCAGCCTCTTCTGCCCCTTTCCAATTTCAGCAGTAATATTTCATGCCAGCCGATTTCTTATTAGCAGCTCAGCCACAGCTGGGAAGGTAACAAGGCCTTTCATTAACTCCTAGCTTGCTGTTCCTGGTGCACAGATGTAGTAATTCTTGGTTTACTTCTTTTGTTGCAGTTTGCAGTTTTATCTTAATTCCTAATACTTGCGTAACACCACCCCTTAGCTTAAAAAAGCTAAGCTTTCAAATATAAATTATATAAAACAAACACAGCCAGTAGGTTTCTCCAGCTAAAGAAAGAAAATTTTGAAAGCATCACTTCACTGCACTGAGTTTTTAAAAACCTGTGATATTTAAAGCCAATATTCTGGGAAGACAACACATTATTTTGTGAATGCTTGAGGCTAAAAATACTCTGATCAGTATCTTTCATAACTTGAATTTAAAAATCATCAAAACACTTTGGAAAATAGGAGACAAGTTGTTAGGGCAAAATCTATTTTGCAATGGCTAAGATCTGAGCATCTTGTTTACTTTGCTCCAAAAAGTTCCTCCGTTCAAATTATTCCTTCCCTAAAGCCAACTCTAAACTACACAGAGGGAAAGAACTTGGAGATACTGATGACCACAGATGAGAAATATTCTGAAGCTATTTTTGCCCTCTTGTCAAATGTGTTATCTGTGCTACTGGATTCAAAGCTGTCCATGGCACAATCAAGTTACTGTGGCTTAACTAATGCAGGCCAGCTGATCTGTCAGTAAAACAGGGAGGGAAACTGCAGTTTAAGTAGGCCTATTGTTAATGCAGACAAACAAAAAGAAAATAATCTGGCTCCCTCTGCCATGTATCAGAGTGAGTAGAGTAGGGCATAGATATCCAGTGAAGCTCAATAGATAACTGCAGTGGCAAGAAAGTCAACTAGTTATCTTTTACCCAGTAAAACACAATGGACAGCTAAGTGTAAAAGACTACTAATCTGTATAAATCTTTGATTAGCTTTAATTTCTTTGGAATTAATCTCCTAAAACTGAATCTGTTACCAACTCTGATATACATAAAATAATTGGATTTTCTCCCAGAAAAAGAAACAGTGCATGGCAGTGAGTTCACAAGCAAAAGGAAGAGCTTGCTTTTTCACCTCCTATGAGGTTCTGCTTCCTCGTTATAATGCTAGGCAAGAGATACTGGACACATTATTTACCCTAAAATGTATGTGTGCTGGGAGGGGATGTGGAGAAAAGTATGGTTCCTCATTATGAAAACTTCATCAAAATACACAGGATTATAAAAAGAGATCCTAGTAGAGTTTATAGGAATGAGAGGAAACGTGGGGTTAATGACTGCTGACATACATATTTTACCAATGATTTACCATGCATTTGTGAAGGCTGTTTTGCTGGGTGCCATTGGTACAACCCAGTCTTAAAAGCAATATAGGGGATTTTCATATCCTGAAGAAATTTTAGAGGAAAATGCCACAACGACTGAGAAAACGGGCTGGCAGAACAGCGCTAAGCAGAATGTTGCAACGCTGTGTCAAATACAATACAAACATAACGCAGAACAGACATTACTGAGACCATTAATGTTATCTTGCTCTCAGAGAGCACTTTTTACCTGCAGACCATAAAGTGTTTTACAAATAATGTCAATACCATTTTGCAGATGGGGAAAATGAAACACAGTGAAGAGATTTGCTAGTGCTAGTATTCAAGCTGCGCCTACAGGCTTAGTTTCAAGCCTCCCAGTCCAATAGCTTTCACATTGGACTAGGAAGCCTCTCTTTATGAGAAATAATACAGATTACATAACTAACTTTTTTCCCTAAAACATTTTAATGCTGAAATACATATACAGGCAGGTCACAAGTCTCTACAAGTAAGACCCAAGTAGAAAGGGAGTTAGAAAACTGGAGAAAGTCTGGTCAAGTACGTAATCTTTTCTTTAAAACTAAGCCTCCTTTCCACTCCTCACCCTTTTTAATACCATTTTTGTCCAAGTATACTTTTTAACTTCATTATTTCAAATGAAAATGTATTCAAATATGTCAAAGTCTGCTAAGAAAAGAGTAATGAAACATACAAGTTCAAATTTCGAGAGCAAACTATCATAACAACAATTACATCAGCTTTTAATTAGATATTCATACATTCATAGCAAGATCACCTGGAGGCTTGACTGACAGCATGCCATCAACTGAGATGTCAGCTAACATTGAAGAGTCTCCTGTTGCTTTAGAGGAGAGCGTTTATAAGGCAAACTCACCATTTTTTCTTCATCTTTTCTTCTTTCACTGGAAATTTTAATCTATTTTCTTCTCACCCTAAAATATACCTCCACAGGTTTTTTTGCTTCCCATGACAAATCATGTTTCACTTTGCTAATTTTTCATACTTCATTTACAGTAGTAATTTCTTTTTACAACATTGGTAATAGTGCAGTGTTACTTTAGGACACCCACTGCAGCTGACAGTTTTCTTTGTTCTGGGTCAGGCAGCACAATTCCAGCACTTAAGAGGACCAGAAATACAATTCTTTCCCTGGTATGGATGAGACTTTTCACCTGATCCAGAAAAAGAAAAATTACTAGCTAACCAAGGTACATCAAAGAATAGCAATGACAAATAATTAGTTTTAAACCGCTTTTGTCAATTGATACAGAATTTGCCTTTTTTCTGGTTTATCACTACTACTGCTAGCAAGAAACTCCACGGTTCCTTTTTCCTACTATCTATCCTCTCCGTCTTCTTTCACATTTAATAGTCTTGTAACGTTCAAATCATCTACTTATGTAATATGTTGTTTATGCCAGCCATAATCTTTGCCACCTGTGCTGGTTTTGGCTGGGGCAGAGTTAAGTTTCTTCACAGTAGCTAGTACGGGGCTCTGTTTTGGATTTGTGCTGGGAACAGTGTTGATAACACAGGGATGTTTTCATTACTGCTGAGCAGCGCTTACACAGAGCCAAGGCCTTTTCTGCCTCTCACACCACCCCACCAGCGAGTAGGCTGGGGGTGCGCAAGAAGTTGGGAGGGGGCACAGCTGGGACAGCTGACCCCAACTGGCCAAAGGAATATTCTGTACCGTATGAGGTCATGCTCAGCATAGAAAGCTGGGGGGAGAAGAAGGAAGGGGGGGACGTTTTGTTTTCCCAAGTCACTGTTACGCGTGATGGAGCCCTGCTTTCCTGGAGATGGCTGAACACCTGCCTGTCCATGGGAAGTAGTGAATGAATTCCTTGTTTTGCTTTGCTGCGTGCGCAGCTTTTGCTTTCCCTATTAAACTGTCTTTATCTCAACCCACGAGTTTTCTCACTTTTACTTTTGTGATTCTCTCCCCCATCCCACCGGGGGAGAGTAAGCGAGCAGCTGTGTGGTGCTTAGCTGTCGGCTGGGGTTAAACCACAACACCACCATAGGCTGGAAGAGATAAGGAAACTGAATACAGCAACAGTAAGATAAGCAGAGAACTCAGAGTATTTGTCTAATTATTTGTTACACTGGAAAAACAAGCACCCACAAAACACAAAATACATCTCTGGTCACTCATCTGACCAACTTTATCACTAGTAATTCCCAGTGAGCAACAATCCAGGCTACTGGAGAAATCAAGCACTAGATCTGGTATTGTTTGGTTTTGCTCCAAGAGGAGACTCGGGGTTGTCTGTCATTCAGTAATCTCCCAGAGCCAAGGATTCTGAGGAAAATTTGGTTCATGCAATCCTAACTCACCAGTATTCCATATATTTTCAAAACATAACAGTTCAAACCAGCTTTTGCCGAGTCTCCCTCTCCCATTTAAGCATATCAATTATAATAACAAATTAGGCTACTACCTTAAAGCTAATAATAAATGTTCAGTTGATACTCTGTTCTCCAAACAGGAATCTGCAGGTCTCCTTTGAGATACCTGCCATCAAACACCTGAATCACGTCCTAAGGATCAGCCATGTCAACATGCTTTGGTTAGCACCTGTTTGAAGCTTTCTCAAGGAAAATGCCCATCTCAGCAACTCTATCCCCTTCCTGTATTTGAAAAAATACATTCCCTATTTCTTCAAGGGTTGTCTACATGTAAGGATGTAAGGTGGCAACCTCCTGCAACTACAAGGCCACTCCTTGTAAAACCACTGCTGTTTGCAGCTGTTTCTCACCCTAAATTACAGTACCACTTCCATGAAGCAGCAGAATTTCCTGGCATCTAAATCACACCAACTTTTCTGTTTTGCCTTATCAATTTATGTATCTGCAAGATGCCAGTGACTGTCATCAGATTCCAATAGAGCAGGTATTCTTGTTTCCATTTTTCTGTTG